CGGTATAGACGAGCTTTACCGCTGAGTGTCTTTAAGTAAGCAAAGAACTCTGGATTTGTTGCGGCTGCGGCAGCCAAATCCTTCTCGTATTGAAGACGAATAGTCATAAGACGCTGCATACATTTATTTCTAACCGCTCGATACCATTCGTAGGTGCTGGTGGATGAAGCCGCTTGGTAAGTTCACCACCACTTAGAGCACTTCCTGAGCAGGTATTTACCTGTATGATCTATCCCGCCGCGCCCGTATCACCCGTCTCTTAACGTGTGGGATGTGAGAAGCAGAGATCTCAGTGAGCTATGCCTTAAATTTCTTCCAAACTGTCTCAACGGTGTCAGCCACGGTAATCTCGCAACGCAGTACTGAAGCTTTGTCTCGCATTGCGTTAAAGTCTGCCCGCCAAATAATTGGACATGTTTCAGCTGTAGCTTGATGACGTAGTTAGAGCACATCGAAAGGATATGCAGACAAGATCACTGGCTCCTAGAGGACAGTGGTATGTAGTATCACTTACGAAATGGTGTGACTTGGCAAAAAATAAGATCCAAGGTAGACGGAAGCTGGTAGCTCATATATCTAATCGGGAGGTTCAGGAACTGATGCAAAGGAAGTTGCAATGTTAGCTCGAGAAAATCAGAACCGAAAGTGTCAACCGCTGAACAGCAGGATGGATCAGCCCAGCAGACTTCAGGGTTGAAGTCACCCAGTATTAGACTCCTATTTGAAGCATGAGTACGAATAAATTCAATGACCTCCCTGGAGATACTTCCAGGACTTCGACATACCACTACAACTGTAAACTGAGCAGAGCAAGTGCACACAATAGTCGACAGGGCTTCAACAGTTTGATCCGACGACTGGAAAACAGAGGTCCTCAACACATCAAGTTTAAAACTTACATAAAGAGCGACGACCCCACCTTGGCGGCCAGCGGATATTTTACATATATATGGTTGGCGGCATCCGGTTTCGGATTTGCCTGTCACTGTGGCAAGCCACAGGAAGCCTGCGCCTACAGAGGGACCATGGATGGCTTGCGCTGCACCACCCACAGCTCCAACCACATACCCCATATCCAGTGTAAACCCGAAGGAATAAGACCGGGAGGCATGCGGATGGGAACCACGTTTCATCAACGGAGCCGGCCCACACTCCTTCACAGGCAAACACAAGCACGCTGTATTAGGGGAATCAACCGCACACAAGGCGGTGGCTGGACCGTAGTCCGCTCCACACTGAGTGCATGGAACCGCTCTTTGAGCCTAGCACGGCCACAAGAACCGTGCACCCCGTCCCCTCCAGCAACGACCAACTGTCTCCTGGAGCCAGTATGAACGATGTGGTGGGTAATAGACAGGTAGGCACCTTGTCAACATACACATCAAGCGCAACCATACCAGGGATATCAAACAACAGCCATTCACTTTAAACGACAAGCTGAAATAAAATAAATCCAATAATGCATAAAGATACGGTGGCATAACTCTTCGCTAAATTACCATATGAAGTAAGTTGGTCAGCAACAAATCCGTGATAAGTAAGAAATGTCCACAAGTTACTTAAAATGCTACAAACGCAACAAAATTACCGAAGATAAGCGCAATTAGTGTAAGCAACGTGGCCAGTTAATAGAACATTATTCAGGGAGGCAGAACAAACCAAATGAAGCGGAATGAAATTTATCCAGCTTAAAAAGACCTAGTTTAAGTGTAAGTTGGTTTAGCCCAACTGCGGTGAAGAAGCATCAAGAATGCAACATCAGCCTCAGCATGGGGCACTTACATATATATATATATATATATATATATATATATATATATATATATATATATATATTTCTTGCTCAATAAACGTTTGGCAGTGCCACAACACATGAGTAAAAATAACAAAAAGGAGAGAGAGAATCAGAGAAATGGAAGAAGCTGCAAATGTTGTGTGGGCATTAAGCTTCCCGATTGCCCAGGCCGAGGAAGAGAGTTGACTTAAGGGACCCCACCCCCAGCCTTTGGTTTAAGGACCTGACCGGCAAGATAGCGGGGTGATTCATGAAGACCGTTGACAGCCAAATGGTTCATTCATCTGCTTTGTGTTCGGAAGCAGTCCAGAGAGAAGCCGGTGGCCAGTGAGGTTGTTCATCCGCCCTCCGTTGGATACTCACACCCAGTTACAGGAGTGAGTGGTCAGTGACATTATAGCCGGTCACATTGGCTTTGACAGAGCGCCGTACGAGCTGTTGTGGTATTTAATGCAGAACCAAGTGACCAGCCCAGAACTCCCCACGCTCTGAGACTCTGCCGCTGATTGTCTGCGACTGCTTATTCATCTCGCCTGCAAAGCAAACAAGACTCATTCGCAGTTACCTCCACAAGGAAAGCATTCCCCGATCCGCAATTTGGGGACGCGCTCGTTAGCGTACAGCTCCGTCTCGGGCGGCCAACGGAGCGATCACATCTAAGCAGTGCCACGTAAACATACTTCACTGTCTGTGTTATCTGGGGATAACCAGGTTTCAGTGAAAGCATGTCGTGACGAGAGTTGTCTACAAGTAGACGCATCTCGTGTACCTTGTTCCTTAGACTACGCACAATGCTAAGCACTATCCGAAGGAACTCGGCACGCTCAGCCCTGGGTCGTACGCTACGAAGAGGAGTTCTGGTAGGGCAGAAGTTGACTTCCGGCTGAACACCTGAAAACCCACAAGACGAAGGTCTTGCTCACCAGCCGCCCAACTGCTCTTGCGGCTTTTGATGACTTACTTTAACTTCAGTCGATCTGCCAATGGGAGGTCCGGCTGAACGCTGACACTGCTGCCCTTGATTTTGAATGCAAAGCGCATTAACGCTTTGCGTCCCTCCGGGGTTGAGAGGACTACACGAAGTGGTCGGGGTCGTGGATTTGGCGTATCTATAGGGACCTTCTCCAATCTGGTTAGTTTCCTGATAGTGAAAACAGAGAAATCAGGTGGAAGCATCTTGTTGACCCAGAACTTGAACCACTGGAGGTCATCCAGCATGCGTTCATTTGGAAGAGTTGCGCGGATTCAGCTACGTTACTGAAGATAACTTAGCGATCAGTAAAAGAAGCACCTCGGTGAGGCGTATTCACTCCACGAGTCTTCGACTCGATCCCAGTTTCGATCGGTTTGGCAGGTGACACGGCGCGTTTCTTCGACAAGGGAGCTGGAGTAATTGAGGTTGCGGTTTTGTGTTCTACCTCCAACTTCGTCATCGGTCTAGTCTTTTCAGACTTTGCGGGTTTGGCAGAAGTCGACGCAGCAAGTTTCTTTGCCAAAGAAACTGGGATGATTGGAGTTGGAGCTTTATGCTCTACCTCCAATACCTTTATGCGTTCAGTACCTACGGGCTTTGAGGGGACTTACAGACTTTCTTAGCCATCCTCCTTTTGCTTTTATTGTGCACAGGCGCTAGAAGATCGATCTTGTCTTGGACGACGTCCAGTACGACATCAGAGGCCTCGTTATGGGCATTCTGGGTAGCTGGTGTACATGACACGGCAGCCATCACTTCAGTCGAATTCTCATCGATTGCAGGGGAGTTTGGCTGCGTGCCTTCCTCCAATGAACCGACATCAGTAGAGATTCCAACTTTCCTCATCAGTAAGTGCACTTTACGATCAAGAGATATCAGGAAGGACCACATCTGCTTTTTACCCAAACCGACGTCACTCGATTTCTCCTCAGTGACATTAAGACGCGTAGATCGACGGCGACGGCGTAGAAGACAATTGAACAACATGCTATCGCTAGTCGACAACATTGCGTACTGATCAGGGCTCAAATCCGTACAGGTCTCATAGTACCAGTAGTTGTATACATAGCACCGCATGCCACCAGACTCGTCTGTCACGGGCTCTGAGCAGCTCACGCTGCCGCAGACATTAGATTCGCTGATAAACGCAGCCGAAGATACATTAGCGCCGGTATCCAGTGGACCCATGAGGCTTTCAAAGAGTGTGAAACAAGTATCAAAACGTAAATCCGACAAGCTGTTATCTGCATGGCAGTCAGCAGAAACAGTTACGGGTTAAAACAAGGTGCATAACGGTTTACATAACACAAAATATCAGAATAATAGTCAGAGGACGAAACCGTCAAAGATGGACGACGTGCCCGAGAACGGGTACGATATAACCTGGAGAAAACGGTGATCCAAAATTATATGGATAAAGCGGAATTTGACAAAAGTCAAATTTTGTTGCATGACAGTTGTAAACACTGTTCCGAAACTGCGCGTTTAAAGTAAACCCTCAAAAAGATAGCACGCACAAAAAGTTCAATTTACCGCCAAGGAGGAAACCGCAGTCAACGCTTCTGGCCACATGCCCAGAAAAGCAATACATTAAATGTAAGCACCGTGTGTTAGATACAAGGCTAAAATTGTAAAGAACTAGACAATAGACAAACAGTAATCCGACGGAGAACGAGATAATCAATCTCAAAGGAGCGAAACACACAGCAGTTCGTTATCCGTAGGTGAACGTAGCCTATCAGGAACTAACAAGGAGTTCGAATTTAGCTTGGCAATCCAATCGGGGGTAAATCCTAGGTGCTCTAAAGTGAAATGATGCAGGCATTTAGAGCCAACTTTTGAACTCAGTAATTCCTTGTCGAAAATTAAACGCATTGTACTGTAAAAGAACATATTGCATTAAACCGGTTACAAATTCTCGATAGTCCGCTGACAATCCCAGGAGAACGTCAGCGGACTCCTGACAGTTCGATGCTGCACGCCAACGGATATGATGGTGCTGATAGAGCAGGTTAATCACAGTTAGTGCCCACAGAAAAGTATAAAAAGAATTATACACAGAGTGGGAACAAGGCCGCCAGAGCTAGTATAACAGATGCCACAGAGCTACCAGTAGAACCAGACGCTGATAATATTATCAGCGTCTTCCAATGGCATTGAAAAAGGTGAAGCCCGTGGTACATGACAGGAAAAGATTACCCAATCAAAACTAATAAAACGAACAATACTAACCTCTACATGACACAAGTAGTATTTCCCGTCTCCAGTGATTAAGGAATCATAAAATTGTAGTTCCTTTGCTTTGAGTTCCTCCAAGTCTGAGCCGGTGAACACAAAATTCCAGCGAAAAAGACATTCGAAGACTCCTAACTTTAAAGCCAAATCAAAAATAGGATCAAATTGACCCATTTTAGGCCTATGAGAAATTAAAAGGTTTGCAATGCTATTTATGGAACTCAAAACCATTTCATCTACGGTGGGTGCTACAGTAAAGTTGTGTTGACAAAAGTAATTCACTTACAAGCATCCACTCTAGAAAGTAAGGTAAACCATTTGGTTTTGAAGTCGTTAATAAGCATAACGCAACGTTCATCATCCAAGTCCATTTGACGGTAAGCTAAGGTAGCTGGACCAAGGACACTGTCAGGGTCATCACTGAGGTGCGACAAGGTCGTCTCGAAGGCGGCCAAAGGTCGTCACAATTTATTACCTTTTGTTACCTAAGAAAAAGCAAATATCTTACAAAATCTTTGCTAAAATAATTTACACAAATTTTTTGTTTGTTAGATGCCAGTTTTAAGCGTCCTGAAAAATGTGGCGAACAGTGCATCCCGATGAACACACTTAGAGAGAATACTGTTAGACGACAACTCGGATACTAGCCGGTAGCTATTGGAACATTGTATTTAATGGGGCTAAATGCTAGAGCTATGCATGTCCTATAGGGTCTGAAGATCGGAGCAAGTGTTTAGCGAAGCACCGTCATATTGGATGATAATCACACACCCCGCCGTTATCGAGTTGGACGCTGCCGTCCACCTCACCGTTGTCTTATATTCACCACCCCCGTGTATCGCTGACCAGGAACACGGACTGTTGGTATTGTTTCGGCTCACCGTCGGCCGGTGACCGAGTGGTATGCGCGTGTGTTTTGCAACCATAAGGTCACCGGTTCGAATCCGCGTAGAGGAGGGCGTCCTCGCGGTATGCTCAGACCACGCGCGACTGGTGGTGGTCGCATGGCAGCGAAGCGCCATTATGACGTACAGCTGGCGAGTTACTTACTTTTTCTTCGGCTCACCGTTGAGCACCATTGAGACTAGGTATACAAACCTAGTCGCAAGTCATTTATATACATTTAAGTGTACTGTGCTGGAACCAAGTTACGCTACATTGAATGTTGCTCCCTTTATTTTGATTATCTAACCTTGCGTGAGCCTAGGTTTATATAGTGCAATCTTGTATCGACTGGCAAGCACAGTTGACTAGTTGACCTACAACCTTCAAGCTTGATGATTATCTTCCTACTGCTGATGTTCCAAGGCTCCAATGCTCCTTTTACAGACCGCTTATCTGCCGCTAAGATGCATATTGTAAATTTGGAATCAATGTTATCGAAGGCCAGTGTGAAGACTGACGACGTTCAAATTCTCACATTATATAAGTTAGACGGATCGGCGCAGTTAAACTTGGTGGACGCTCGAAGCACTGGCGATAAGGCTATTGTCGCTTCACCTGGCAAGACTGAACTAACCGTACACACAATTGATGATTCAACTTGGCGTTATAATTTTGGCCGCTCGTCCATAGGTGCAACTGTCTTACGCACCGTTGGTGCACATGTTCTATTCTCCGTCCCAGGGTCTTCCCACACGAGCCATCAGTCCACTTCAGCGACACAAGTCAATGCGCCTTCCTTGACTCTATTCACTAGTACCCTTCCGAAACACGAGCCTGTCCGATTTGATGGCGACCCAATGACATGCTGGCCTTTAATACGCAGTTTCCGAGCTGAAGTGATGAGTTTAACTGATCAATCTGTAGTGTTGATGTTATTTGATGCACTACAGTGAATGGAATTCCAGAGAAGCGATGGAGAGCTGTTCCATATTGGAACCGGAAGCGGGTTTCAGGGTCGCTTCGTATACGCTTAGGATACGATTTGGTCGAGTACACCGTATTGCTCGTGCTCATATCAACCGATTATTAGAAGGACTGGTTGCCAAATATTATGGTGGATGCCCTTAACAAGTTAATTGGTCAGAAGCAGGCATGCATAACTACTTTAAGACATCTCAGCTACCAGGAGAACTTAACGTCACTGTGACAACTATTGCTGTTTTCAAATGACTACTGGGTGCGGGGCAGCAGGAGTGGTTTAAGAGAGCAACAGCGGCAGTGGGCTCCTTCAGAGAAGCCACCTTCCCTGCTCTATACGAAACCGTGATTGATTCTGTAGAAGTAGCGGATTCCCAATCCAAGTATTCAGCATTTCGCTTATAGGGCGTGAAAACTCCACAATGGTGGAACGGCCGGAAGCACCTGGAACCCGAACCCTTCAGTTTGCATTACATGAAGCAGCGGAGCCGCGAGAATACTTCTGTCATTTTCTGTGCGCTTCATTACCTGGATAGGTGTCCAAAGTATCCATCATTAGATGCCACTTAACTCGTCGCTATGGTGCTCGCCACCAACTTGTGTGAGTATTGCCTTAGGACCAACCACGTCGCAACTGATGTTAGGGCCATGTGAGGCTTAACGAATGTCCTGCTATTCACCACCCATTAGTGATTGCGCAACGGTGACCGCTACCAATACAAAACGCCGCAGTTAATTCATCGAGCACATTCGCTAATCAGGTGGCCCTCTAGGTCATTCCGGTAGGAAGAAAAGGCGAAAATATGGCCATCGTAACCATCGAATTGCTGGAAACCTGGGCTGATTCATCGTTTATTGAAGCGCAGCTTCTAATGGACTTGCAGGTAGACACCAAACCAGCACCTTCAACCGTTTCGACCCTGCACACATCCAGCCTTGATTCCGCAGTGGCGGAGCCAGAACATTGGCCCATGCATGGTGGAAAACTTGTCAAGTGGAGCCAAGTATAATCGGTGCAAATCTAAGCTAAAGCGACCACGGGTATTTCCCCCAGGGAGAACGACGCGGGGAGGGCAGTGCGTATATTGCCACAAGATCGTGTCACTTACAACTCCCAAAAATGCGCAGAGTTGGTCTGCGTTTCATACCCACGACAAAACGCGAATGTGGATTTGTGTGATGGACCATTCCAGGTGCCTACGAGGTTGAGTTTCGGGACAACCACTACAACTTGCCATCCCGTATCGCCGCTTGGCGAACTCCAAGGCTGGCCGGCCATGGCTCATTCGAAAGCTTGCGATTTGCTCTCCAGTGGCTGCATCATTCGACCCGCATTCCTTCCGGGGGCTTCGGTAACAGCGTTTTTAGCTGTTTGTTGCTTTCTCGATCCGCAACGCTTGCAAAGCCTTGTCCCGCTTCCTCCACTGCGCCCTTGGTTAATTCACTACCATTCCGTTTTGTTTGTCGCCGCGTTCACCCGGCGTTTCGTTCCTTTGCTACCGGTGTGGTAGTTTGCTGTTTTACGATCCAGTACGGTGTAGGGGAAGTTACAGGGCTCCCTGAACCTCCCCGCGTCTGGATCTTCATTTATTGGGTGATTCTTTTGCAGTACCTTGACTCGTTCGCCAACTCTGAACGGCGTCCACTTGTGTGCCCCTTGCCTGGCGTCGTAGTTCCTCTTATTGCCTGCTTGGCGTGCTTCTGTTCTTTTTCTAGAAATCGCTTGCAGTCGTGCGGGATGCCGTGCCGGATGTTCTCTTTCACTCAATTTCGCTAAGCACGTACCAAGCGCAATCCGGGGTTTTCACCCAAATTGTAATTCGGATGACGAAACCTGGGTGGTCGACAGCATGCTGGTCCGGTAAGCACGCAAAACTTCAGCCAATGCTTCCTCCCATGCCAACTTCCTGCAGTTTATCCACGTCTTCATAGTTCGATTAAACTGCTGTGTTATTCCATTGTCCTGCGGGTGGTGCGGTGAAGTTTGTCCCCTCTGGATGCCCCACTTGTCCAAAATCGTCTGAAATGCTTTCGACTCGAATCACGGCTCTTGCTCGGTGAGAGCATATGGTGGTATCCCATGACTTACTGGCACCTTGCATTCGAATGCCTGCGACACGATCTCACCTGTTAGGCCTTGATTGGTATGGCATCTACCCAGCGAGTGAATCAGTCGATCGTCACCTGAACGTATCGGTTTCCAGATCGACTAATTGTTAAGGGTCCAAAGACATCCAGTCCGAAACTCTGAAGTGGCTCATTGACTTCCACAGCTCGCATAGGTGGTCTTGGTGCATCCATCTTGCGACTCGTTTAGCACTTTGGGCATCCCCGGACTTACGCTGCGACGTCCTACCACTTGTTAGGCCAAAACAATATCCGTAGCAATTCAAAGGTGCTGCCGAAAAGCATATGGGTGCAATCATGAGTTATTCGCACCACCCGCTCTCGCAGGTTCGGTGGAACAAAAGTTAGTTTCCTTTCGTTTGTCGCAATGATCACAATGTCTTTTTCGACCCCCAGTCCGTCCCAGATCCTAAAGAGTCCCTCAACTTCTCTTGCTGTGGCCTCCGGCTTTCTGCTAGCCTATAAGTGGGATCACAGTGGCTTCACGGCTCCAGCTCTCCTTTGATCACTCAGCATGTTCCTCTCTTCCACTGTGACCGCGCGCACCGGTATAGCGTTGTCCGGCATGAGATCGTCCAACGATGGGCCTGACAACACATCGGGTAGTATGTTCTGCGGTCCGTCTACGTGCTCGATGTCGAAGTTAAATATGTGGAGTCGGTATGCCCACCGCGCAAGGCGTCCCCATGCGTCTTTTGCTGTCATCAACCATGAAAGCGGATTACGGTCAGCGACGACCCGGAATTCAGTCGCTAGGAGGTAAGTTCTCCATTTATCCAAGACTCACACGATGGCCAGACATACTTTGTCCTTCGGAGAATAATTCTGCTCCGCCACGAGCGGTGCTCGACTTGAATATCCCACCACCCCAGCCGGTTGGGACAACGCCGCACCGGTTGCCACGTTGCTTGCTTCAAAGGCCACAGTGAATCTTTCATCTGGATTGGGTAGTATTAGGCACATTGAGGCATCAGCTAGGCATGCCTTTAGGTGGTTGAAGACTTGATCAGTTTCGGCTGTCCAAAAGAACGGTTCGTCTTTGTGAAGCAACTTTAAAAACGAGCTGATCCTGTCTGCGAAATGGGGCACAAATTTTGAGTCATAAGCCACCACTCCCAGAAACGAACGGAGCTGTCGGTTGGATTTTTGCGCTGCAAAACTTGATCGTCTCGCGTTTCTCCGGAAGCGGATGGATTTGACCATTGCCCACAATGTGGCCCACACATACAATCAACTCCCGAGCAATCTGTGACTTCTTAAGACAGAGTTTCAGACCAGGTTCTGTCAGGCTTCGTAGTACTGCTGCAAGTCTGATGCCATGTTCGCTCTCTGTCCCGAAGTAGACGATGATGTCATCCCCGTAGACAACCACGTTTTGTAGGTTTTCCAAGCCCATCAGCAATCGGCGTCTGAATGTAGCAGAGGCGTTACA